GAGGGGCAGGCCCCCCTCCTCCCCCTGTTGCTACGCCCCTGCGAAGATAACTGAAATCGTGCACTGATCAAAATGTACATATATACACGGGGTGATACTGTATGTTTATTTCTATTATTCTTGAAAAGGGGAAAAAATTAAAACCGAAATATAAATAAAGTGATACTGATAAATCCCGTAAAACAACTTCCCAGCTAAAAAAATGTTCAAACTTTGAGGTGGGGTCAATATTCAACAGGGTCAATTTTCAACTTGTTGACGTCATCAGGTGTAAGAAAAAAAATTATCAAGCTGTTGAAAAATGACCCCGGGTATAAATTCAACGACTTTTAGTCTCAATATTCAACGTTGAAAAAAGACCCCGGTTCAATATTCAACGTTGAAAAATGACCCCTGGGTCAATTTTCAACTCGGGTCAATATTCAACGTTACACCGGCATCGGTGACGTCTCCATATGAGTGAAAAATTCTCAAGAGGGACGTTAAACAATATAGAATCAATCAATCAATCTTTTGTTGAATTATCATCTTTTTATTTTATACGAGTAGTTAACATTACATTATAGTGAAAATTATCAGTTAAAATAAATAAGAAATTGTTCAACACCTTTTAAACTTTCAAGTACATTAACATCGTCGTACTAGATACAATTTACAGAATTTAAAAATTATAATATTTAAAATGATTGTTCGTTCACTCCTCAACTTCACTGCCCTCATCACTGTTGGATTCATCGATGATTTCTGGTAGATCTGATGCATCATAAACAGAGCTGCTCCAATTCCTGACACCTTTCAAAGAATCGACGTCATGTCTCGCGTACGCTAGAAACCACACGACACTGGTGATGTGGCCACACATCCCAACCACTCTGCTTCCCGCCTTACACTTACAAAACCAACCGTCAATAACACCATCATTATAACTTATCCAGCACTTATAATTTTTAGCCGATATATGTCTACTCTGGATTTTAGCAGAAAGTATTCCCTGGATATCATCACTCACTAAAATCTCGTATTTACCGTCGATGTCCGTGTGTTCGTGTGCATATGATCGGGCCATACGAAGTTGGTACACGCCAATGGTCAAACATACCTACAAGTTTGTGTAGTGTAGCGCTGAGATTTAACTGTCAACCACAGAACGTACAATAACAATAATAATGCAAGAATTTTTTTTATCACTGGTTGGTTTCCCACGTAAATTATTCAACGGAGTAAATTAAGACAAAGGCACTGGATGAACAGTTATCATTGACCAAAGGCACTTGTTTCGGAAATATATTTAACTCAGAGGGCTAAAAATATTATTATATTATGGGTTAAAATTTATTTCCAAAACAAGTGCCTGTGGCGTTGACTAGCGGTGCAAAAGTCGGCACTGCATGATACTAGTCAAACAGTGTATGATACTTCATGTAATTTTCCATATCTTATGGCAACAACGCACATTTCATTTTTAAAGGTTCTTTAAAGAAAGAGAGTTCAAAATTCAATTTAATTGAAAACATAAAAAAGACGAATTATAAAACAAAAAAAAATCACGATCGTTTAAGTGTAAGAAAATAATCTGAGACTGACGTGACGATAAAATGGCGTAACGATGCTGTTCCAGTTCAGTGTACATTATACATACAATGTATGCAAGTTTATAATATCAGAACTTATCGTGTGATTTCCATTAACTAGAAAAGTGTTAATTTCTCTTGATAAAATACCGGTATTTTAGAAATAAATATTTTTTTAATATAGGAGAAGTATATATCTCAATGTAAATAAAACAAAAATCAGCGCTTGTTCTGTAGTTTTTCATAAAGTTACTGAGTTAATTACGTCGTAAAATGAGCGACGTCAATTAAGATAGCAGAGTGCATATACAGTGTACGAAGGAGTATATTTCAGGTTCTTTTAAAGATATCAGAAAAAAAATACTTGATTCATAAAATAGACTTATTCTAATACTTTATATAGTAATTTGGTTGATTTCCTGTGTAGGGCAGATTTTTGCTAGAACTGTACCTTGCTCTTCAATTCAGCCAAATAAGCGTCAAGAAGAGATTGCATGGAATATTAAAAATGTTTTCATGTAATAAAATGAAAACAAACGGTTACCACATTTCTCGAAGAAATGCATTGATCTTTTTTTCATAGAAATCAAAGCATATCCTTGAAAATCAATTAACTTCCATATCTATATACTTTTATCGTAGATTGACTGTTAAGATTTTTGTTTCTTGGGGAAGGGGGGGGGGCAAAGTTTTTTTGATATGGTTACTTTAATATTCTTAAAGTTTAGTGTACATATATATTTGAAAACAATCTTGATCCACTGACCTCTATCTATGGGTATATAATGCCAAATTTTAATTAAACTTCTATTTTCATAGATTCTGTTTCTGATTCTTAGTTTTAAGTTCTGATGCATCTGATCATAATGTGAAAAGAGGTGAAATATTACAAAAGTTGCATTAAAATCTCTTTATCATAGATTTATAAAAGAGAGAAAAAAGTGTATTTGGCGAGGACAATCACCCGCTCTATGACGGAAAAGTTTTATTGTTCTAAAAGTATGTTGTCGGTAATGTCATCTTCAACATATTAATTAGATTGATATTTTGTAATGAAAGACATATTGATTGAAATTTGTTTTTAGACTTATTTAGTCGAGAATGGGTACGTTTATATTAAATGACTCTAGCTATATTTATTTTAAAAATTTATTTTTGAATGTGAACGGATCAGGTTTCTATTCGAAATCTTGTGTTTAAATTACGGAAAAGTAAATGCATCGTGTGTTTTTTTTTAATGGCGTCTGAACCCATCCTATCTAAAAGTCGAATATTTCTGAAGAAAAAAGTGAGGATAATGAGCATTGATTTATGTCGAAAAAATTTACAAACAATACAAATATTTGAGCAGGGCATAAATGGATCAATATAAAAAAGCAGCTAAATGGTTCGTATGCTAAAATATCAAATAACTTGATTTTTCATAAATTTACAATACAATTAAAAAGAATACATGACAAATGTTTTTGCTGATCGATATTTCAATTTGTTGTGGACATTTTCATGTCATATGGTATTTTTATACACGTACATGACCTAATTATGTTATTCATTTGTACATGTATACATGTCTAACTACTTATTAATCATTTTGCTGAAATCTTACAATTTGTTCTCATTTTATAATATGTCAAATACATGTATCGACAAATGCTACTGACTTGTTTGTATATTTTTTTTTGTTTAGAATGTACACTGTGAAAAAAAGGTATTTCTCTTTATGAAATAATCTATCAAAAAAGTTTTGTAAGCATTATTATAAAATATTTTAAAATATTCAACCAATGAAGATAGATCATTGTAATGTATTGAATTTTCATCTAAAGCAGAAATATCTTAATTTTATATGTGTACAAGAATGTGAAAAATATTGAAAGTAAAAACATATTAATGTTTCATATGATTTACATATGATACCCGTTTCATATGATTGTCATATGTAAATGGCTTTATATACACATAAACCATTCATATGCAAATCATATGAAGTTATTTTCATATGATTCAGATATGTGGATCATATGAAAATCATATGATTTGCTTCATATGATTCACATATGATGACCTTTTTCTATGATTCTCATATGAAACCAATCATATGAGAATCATATGATACTCATACTCGTATGTGGTTCATATGTGGCTAAGTTGCCTGTGTACAAATGTAGCTTTTCTGAAGCTTATGTAGTTCCGCTCTTCTGTTTCAATTTTGTAAAATAGATTGTACACAAGTAGCTCTGTTATATAACAGTTTATTACACAAAATAAACGAAATAAAGTACTAAAATGAGAAATGGATGAATCGATGAATATGCAGAATGAATTAAATTTAAATAAAAAAATAAACATATCAATCCTCAATCCAAGTATTTTTCTAAAGAAAAAGGGGGAGGGGGCACACCCAGAAAAGAAAATACTGACTCAGAAATGTTTTTGGTAAGTAAGAATTATTTAAAAACGGCAATAATCTGAGTCGTCAAATCTTATTTTTAAAAAAAAAATAATTTTAGAAAACAGGGAGGGTTATTAACTAATGTATATGTTTTTAAGAACTCAGGAGGGAAATTTACTTCTAGGGACATTCCCCTTCTACATTCTCCCATAAATATATTGGATATTTGAAATAGGAACTTTTTGTAGTGGTAATATAAAAAAAGAAAACAAAATGCCGAAGATGGAATTCACCACATCTTAACTTAGGATATGCCTTAGATGCTTTCGTCATACACCATAAGTACTTAAGACGTATCCTAAGATATCCCTAATTTAGCATTTATTTGACAGTTCTAAGAAATGTAAAAGAATATTAAGTCCGTCGATAACCTGTACTATACGTAATAAGTCTCCTCATGCTCCTGTGCTAAAAAAAAGTACCAGACGACTTTTAATGAAAATATTTTTTAAATGGGGCAAATTAACATTGATATCCCAGACTTTCAAAGGAAGCGGGGGACAAATACTGAATTCTACTTAATTGTGTTGAACAGTAAGGAACATATCACCTTTAGTTGAGATAGATTTTGAGCTATGTTTTAGTGAAACTTGTGATAAATGCGTAGATGATGTTGTTTTTTTCCAACAATTTTCTGCCTGTAAAGTAACATATGCTAATGTTGGAACGGGAACAGGATAAACACGATAGAGACTGGGGCGTTCGCGATATTTCTAGATATTTTATACCAAACACAAAAAAAATGACTTTCAGCCCTTCTGGATTAAGAACCCCCTAACAGCGAGTAAAGATGTGTTTATTAAAAAGAATTCATCTATTAATACTGTGAAAATAATGCAAACTATTGGGAAAAAATAAAAATCTATAAAATAATAAATTCTATCTATGAAATGAACTATGTTTACTGTTAATGAAAAAAATATATCAAAGAACTCGTTTTGATCTAAAATAATCAGATGTAAATAATATTTGTTCACCTGATATCTCTGTCCTCCAAGCATCATATTTTCCCACGTAGATTTCTACGAAAGAAAAAAAATATAATACCTGAATCGCTAGAAATGTGTCAAGTCGACATTAAAATAGTTTTATTGTACTCTTAAGATTAATGCTGATAAAAACCCAATTCATCCTCCTAATTATTTGTTAAACAAGCAAATTAAGAGAACTGATCACCGACTTTTTGTATGGTGAGAGTGGGAGTTGAAGTCTATGCTATGATCAAAGATTTATTAAGTAAATATAACAGTTCTGTCTAGAAATCCAGAAATTTCCGAGAGGGTGAGGGGTTGGGTTTAAGGAAGAAATAATAGAAACTTAAACTGTTATGAAACAAACGATTATCATGAGCTGTCAGCCAGAAGATTATTTGGCGAGATCAAATCTTGATCTGATGATGTGCAACCCGTTTTACATCCCAATGAAACTCAAATTGATACTTTATTACTTATATTTACATTTGTGACTTATTTATTAAAAATAGTAACGTACTGAACTAAAGTTTGAAACCATTAACGTTTTTTTTTTTCAAAACTAAACGGTATACATTTAACGTGTTTATAACGTCAATCGCTTATGACGCAGCTTTCAAACTACATAGATCGATTATGACTAAATAATCAATTTATTGTCACATGACGAACAACTTGTTTTACGCAGATGTAAAAACGCCTTGTTCAAATAGTGTTTTATAACGGGAAAAATTTGCAAATGTAAATATATATTTATCAAGAACGGGGTGACACATAATACAGTACCGACCAGACCCAACCTGACACTAAAGCAGTGCCAGAAAGCAGTCCCCGGGACTGCTGAGGAACTCCTCTGGGACTGCTGTGGGACTGCTCTCGGACCGCTATGGGACTGCCCTAGGACTGCTCTAAAAAGCAGACCCAGCAGTCCCAGCAGTCCCAGCTGTCCTTGGGACTGCTTTTTGGGACTGCTTTGTTCGACTCATGTGTTAAGAAGTTCTGAGTGACATGATAGCTCCGCCCCCTTGTGTATTCTGAATTTGCAGGCTCCCACTTGTTTTGTTTACTAGCAGCAGAGAGGAGCTAAACTATTAAAAAAGCAAGATTTCTTACAATCTTTCCATTAGAAGAGATAATTATAGTTAATTAATATTTTCAGAGACTGTACATTTACACAAATATTTTTTAATAAAGTTATTAAGTAAGGAAGTAGATTTTATTCCCGAAAAATAAATTACAGGTTTATGAGAAAAAAATATCTACATGTAGGTTTATTTTATTATTTATTGTAAAATAATGTGCACTCAAAATTTGCATTGACACCATTTGAAAATAATCATTATACAGTTATATTTAAGATTTTTAATTGAAAAGCTCCATGTTTTACGAGCACCAGTCGAGAAAGGTATCCATGCAACCCTAAATAAAGCCTAACAGTTTATTAAATGACCATGAAATAAAATTATGCTACCAATCTTCTATAACTCAAACAATTTGAATAATCATCAGGGAATTTATTAATGAATTACCGTTAGGTTTTTAATTTATAAACAAGTTACCAAAAGAGAACATTTATTTTATAAATATAGAGTTGAAAATACCGGGAATTGTGATTTATTTCTTTTTTTCTTTTGCTTGTGTTTACATGTACCTGGCCGATTAATGTTTATTACATGGTATCAACACCCGCGGTTTCAATCGCCTTAGGGCAGAAAATCAGTGCATGCTATTTTGGTATACGTATCAGCGTTTCACATCATTGAACATGCTGGTCAACAATGACCCTAATTTCTATCTACCGGTATATAATGCAAAAATAAAATTGATTACTAAAATGTGTTTGAATTTCTTTCAGGATTAATTAATTTTGAACATAATCTGATGGTTCCATTCTGGTGAATTAGATATGTTCATTCTAACATTTACAAATTATACGCTTAAAACTGAGTATTAAAGAGATAGAGATATTAACAATAATTAAATTGACAAGTCAGTAAAAGAATTTTCTAAAATCCCGCTAGTATGGAAATTGGCCATATAATGATGAGATCTATTTAAATCTAATTCTTACTGGTGGAAAATAATTAATTCACATTTAATTTCCTGTATTAAAAATAAATGGGACACAGTATAAATCACAGAAAATAAAGAAATTGAATTATCATTCATAATTTCATAATTGTGATTAAATGTTCATGTTCAGTTTAATTCATACATGTACGTGTGAAACCTTTCTTCCTTCAATAAATAATCATTCAATTTTTTTCTATGCGCGTCCTGTTAATAAATGACCTACGCATACATGTAAGGAGTCCTGGCATACTACCCAGAATCAATTTCTACTGCCTTTTATAGTTCCATTGTTTATTGCAAATCTCATTTCTGAGTTAGCTCCGCCTATTAAACTAATAAACCCCGCCCACTGGGACTGCTGGGACTGCTTTCTGGAACTGCTGGGACTGCTCTCTGGGACCGCTGGGACTGCTGGGACCGCTCTGGGACTGCTGTGGGACCGCTGTGGGACTGCTCTGGGACCGCTGTGGGACTGCTCTGGGACTGCTGTGGGACTGCTTAAGCAGTCTCAGAAAGTAGTCCCCGGGACTGCTTTGTTTCAGGTTGGGTCTGGTCGGTATTGTATAAAAGAAGTTGTCTAGTAGTTGAATTCCAATTTGACATATTTTTTAAAGATATACCTGCAAAAACATGTAATTTTATGAGTTTTGCAAAAGCAGTTTCTGTGGTTCCTTCATCCTCAGGATAAGTAACTGGCAGCTGCTGTATAGTGTTGGAAATAGAGTCCATTTTCCTGTCTTTCCCTCCTTGATCTTGCGTATTGATGTCAAATTTCTCCTGCGAACTATTGTTTATTTGCTTTTGAGTTCTGTTGTC